ACTATGGAGATCACTGGGGGCTCCTTATTAATGAACAAAGGTTGGCCACTCCTCTATTCACCAATTGGAATCCTACCCAAATAAATTCTCCTCATCCTAAGGATTGCGGTTAAATATCTTAATTTTGATATCATTTAAACCAGCTGGTAACTCAGGTAAAAGCACGCTTCTAAATCTATAACCCAATTGTGTTATGAACAAATGATATAAGAAAAATTGTTGAGCTCAAAATAAAGAACAGCTGTTTACAGAATGACAGACAAACACTTAAAACAGAAGCAATTTGAAATAACTTGTTTGAAGAATAATGACAGTTAATAACACCAGAGAAATTAGTCTAAACTCTGGATGGAACCAATTAATATTACCAAATAGTCTGAAAAGCATTTAGGTTGATCTAAACAGTTCGGGTAAATTGTCTGTTGCAATAGGTGACCCAAATATGAAAAAGTTATCATAGCTTGTACTCTGTGGAGGCCAACGCTAGGCCTGCCATTATTTAAATGGGACGTCAAAATCAAGCAACTGTTTCAACTGCACTGTATTTTAAACTTTTATATCTATTTGTAAAATACTAAAGTTTCTTTGTTTTGTTTTGTTTTTTAAACACCAACCCAACTCTGGACGGCAAAAGAGGCAGTCAGCACCACCAGGAATCATGAGAGCACCAAAGGCCTACAAAAGCCCCCAAATCAGCAACAAATCCTGTATATGATGTCAAGAAGAATGCTGTAATTAAAACAAGACAGTTTTATTAGCTGTATAATCTAACGTGAGGAAATTTTTTGGCTATAACTCTAAGAGACCAAATCCATCACTGAAATATACATTTGCTGAGACAAGAGACAAGGTTTTATTTATGGAAATTATGGGGGTTTTAATAATATTTTTAAAATATCTCCTTTATTGTAAACCTTAGAAAATATAATTTGTTTTAAACTAAAGGCAACCTTTTTATCTTGAGGATAGAAAGTGCCTTTTAAATTCATCACCTTACGGGGAAAATGTAGAAGCCTTTTTTAAAAAAAAAAAAAAAAAAAATTCTGCTGTTCTCTGCAAGGGTTTATTCCTTGGAAGCTATTCCCAGCAGGATGGCTTTTTTGCATCCCTCAAATTCAGCAATTCAGCCCCTCCTTTAAGCTAGGAAATACCAACCACACCCTATGAACCTGCAGCTGCCACACCCAGAGGCCGTCTATACTTGTGTCTAGGACCCTTAAAAATGTTTTTCTCTAAGTAATAAATTTTATCTCTGAATCCAATAGGTGCCTAAAGACCCAAAACATTTGGATGCCTTTTTATTTATAAATTTTTTCCCAAATGAAGAATGACTAATTGAATGATACTCGAGTCTAGAGTGATTTGAACAGGGTTTTGAGGAGATTGAACTATAACCTTGATTTTTCCTGTATAATCAGCATGGATATCACTAGGTTTCCACCTTTTAAAATAAGACTACTATGGCCTAGCAGGAGTCCCACTGTACTCTGAATCAAGGTCCATCGACTCCAGTAGGAATAGTTTAGAGCCCCATTTTAGGAGTTAATATGAATCTGGAGGAGGGACCGAGATCCAAATCTCCACTCCACCACCTCAGGGAAGTGTGAGCCCCTGGCAGAGCCTCCACATCTCAGTACCTGGAATGGGCTCTCCTGCCCACATTTCTTCCCCTTCCCCAAGCAAAAGCGGGCAGGCAGGCTGCACGGTGGACGCGCACAAGTTTTCCTTGGTGCGCCAGTTGTAGCTCTTGTCCTGGGCTCTCACTCTGGCCCCTGGATGTCTGCTTTTTTCCCAGATTGTGAGTACAGGCACTGATTTGAGCCGGATGAATTTCTGGTGCCAAACTCGGGCACAGCCTTGTACTGGCCGGTGGTGCTTGCAGTGCGGAGAGCCAGGGCGCACCAGGGTCATGTCCCGCCCATCGGGTTTCTGGTGCTCATGTTGGTGGCTGGCAGCACGTGCACGTGGCTGCGGCCGGACAGGCTGTGGGGACACACACGCGACTGGGAGGTCCCAGCTGGGTCTGCCTAGAACCCGAGACCGGGGCTGTCCCTGAACCCGCTTTGCATTCCTCCCCCAGGTAGTGCTGCCGCTCCTGTCCCGCCTGGGCTTGGGACTTCACTTTAGAGTACAGTTCCCAGATGAATGCTTTGTGGTTTTAAAACCCCTTCTATCCACAATCCAGAAAAGAAAAGTAAGAATAGGAATCAAGCATGCCAAAACCACTTCCGCACACAGGTACTCCTGTGACTCTTGAGACTGTAGTTGTCCCATTTTAATTACTAATAATGCAATAAACTTTTCTTCTTTGGTCTTCTCTTAAGCCTATTTTTGTACCTATATCGTTTAAGGTCAGTAGAACTCCATGCCCGGCTCTTAACACCTGATAATAATCAACACAACACTCCAGAGCTAATTAGTAACCTACTCTTAACACCTGATACTAATCAACATAACAGTCTAGTGCTAACTATTGACCTACCAATCACTCTCCCCACCCTGTTGTGCGCACAAATTCTGGGGAGTGTCTCCCCACCAACCACTCTCCTTACCGGGGGCCGCACGCTGGGCGCCAATTGTGGGACTCGGTGGCCTCTCCACGGTCCTCGGGAGAAAATGGTGAGAGGATATAGAAAATAAAGACAAGAGACTATAGCCGGGGTCAGGTGGAGTTACCTCTTGCCTGATGAGCAAGAGGACTCCAACAGGAGGGGTGTTTATTTTATACACTTGCAAAGTAGTGTTGAGAGAGCTAATGTTGCCTAGCAACTAAGACTAAGACTAAGACAGTAATGGTCTAAGCAGGATACTTTTTTCAATACTTAGGTAGCCTGACTGCCTGAGGCACTCTGGATCTGTCCCACCCTCAGACACATGACCAATAACCAACTCCAGTGGCTCCCAACAGAATTTTGGCCTTTATTCCTATTATTTGTAAGAGTCCTTGTAGTTGATATTCACTTTTGATAAATCTATTACAAATATTTCCTGCAACTTTCATTTATCTTTCAACATTGTTCATTGCATATTTTGTTGCTGCTGTTGTTTTGTTTGATTTTGTTATTACGTGGACGCAAAAGAAAGTAAAAGGTCCTTCTCCTTCCACATAAATAATCACCAGGGGTAGGGTTGCTGCTCAACATCGAGACAATGATTAAATGGGATTTGCTCGAGGCCTCCTCCTTGCGCTCTGCACTCCTGGAACACGGTGCAGTTTGCAGGAGGTCAAGGACTTGAAAACTTGGAAATTGCACCGGGTCCTTGAACATCTAACATTCACAGTCAGGAGAAGAGAATACCCAAACGCAGACACGGCTCACTTCACATATTTGCCTGAACTCTGCTCCCCGTTCAGTTTTCAACATAACACTCTAGTGCTAACTAGAATGAAACCATCTATGTTTCATTCTCAACAAAAAAGTTCAGGTTAAATAGCATTCAGTGGTTTGAAAAAATGAGCACATGTCTGAAGGGATGAGAGGTTAGTAGACCTTTATTATTTACAATTGCAAATAACCATCTGGTAAAAATTTTGATCCTTAGGAACAATTTACTTACTCCCTAAAACAAAATAAAGAAACCAGTGAGGCTTCTGTGAGCTGGATACTAGAGATGCTTCTCTCCACATTTAAAACGATACAGTTTTTGAAAAACAGTTCTTTGTTTTAACATATACATAAATACCTATGTGACACGAGAGGCAGTGTACTGCGGCAGAAATAGAATTGAATTGAAATCTGGCTCATACTTCTAAGTTTTGCCAATGACATGTTGTAATTTTGGAAAAGGGCCAGATTTTCTATATTGGTCAATCTGTCCACTTTTTTCTTTTAGTTCTCTCTCTCTCTCTCCCCCACCCCTTGTCATTTCACGCCGTCCGGACTGCCATGAAGTCGTTCCTTCCTGGACGAGAGCCCCACGGCCACGCTGCCCCTGGCCGGGAAGGAGGGCGCCGCGCCCCTGCGCAGTCGGCCGGCGACTCTGCTCCCTGCCCCGCGCGCCCGCC